TAAATTTTCATTCAGATGCTGGTTAGCCCCCCCCCTCCCCCTCCCCCCACAACACACACACACTTCTTGCTGTGTAAGCCCAAACACTGGCAAATTTTCAGGATTTGAAAAACAAGGTACCAAGAAGTAAGAGGAAGGTCCAGCCCCCCCCCCCCCCAGTAGGATTTAGATTTTTGGGGGGGGGGTAAGTATTTTTGGGAGGCGCCCCTTTTAACAGTTTAAAAAGAAACATTAGTACGGATCCGAAGAATATTTACTACCTTTAAAGAAGTAGAAGTTTTGACATGAACAAAAGGACAATGGCCACCCTGCCAAGCCCCCTTCAGGGCTTGTCTTCTTTTTCACTTCTGGCATGTCTGCTAGCCGTGAAATTTTTTTATCGGGTTAATACTGTATGTCTCTGATATTAAGGAGTTCGTAAAGGTTCTAAAAACAAATATTAACATTACAGAAAAAAGAGCATTTCAATGACAAATATATAGATGCTTCGAACTCAGAAAATTTAATCCAACCATTGATAAGCTTGGATAATCATTACTAATTATAAATTATGTGTAAGTTTAACGTTGGTTATTTTTATGTAGTATGACCGTGATTTTCAAAGTCTGAAATTATACAACATTAATTTTGAGTTCACATGTACTCTCTTATATAACACAGCCTTCGTTATTTTTGCAATGCTATCATGCACTTGCATGAATACAGGACTACCAACATCAGGGTTGTCCCCAAGAATTAAAATAGCAGGGGACACTGAAGGGGGTCTCGGGTTCCTCCTCTACATGTAACAGGGATTTGAGTGGGATTGCCAGATTAACCGCGCGGGACATTATGTCTTTTAAAGGCGGGGATATTCCCCGGATCCCGGGTCTTAGGGACAACCCTGTCAATATTATGTAATGACAGGTATCGATTGGTGTGAAGCCGAATTCTTGAAGATATGTCTTGGTTTCGATATGCCGCTATTAGCCGGTAATTCTATAAGGTGTGAATTCAGCCCTGCGGGTGAATTTTGCAATCAATTTTCAATCAAAGGTGTGAATTGAAAGATCGATAGCATGCAGTATTTTTAATCACTGATTAATTGTACCCCCTATTACATGATTTCCGTGCATTTGCATGGGATGAAATAGTATTTAACGGTTTCAAGAATAAAATACAAATTAATCTACCGAAATGCCAGTATACATGTACGTACCATGTCATATAGTTTGCAGAAGATTTGTTTTGAATACATTAAATGGATTGGAAACAAATTTATATAACTTTGTAAGTTCCTCTTAGCACAACAGCATAAACTTAAGAGGTATAAATAGTGTAAAATTTCATATTGTTACATTATTTATGTCTTTTGTGTTTTTTCAAGAAAAATGCAGTTAAATATCTGTACAATTTACAATTACTGCGTATGAATATATGTGCAATTAGTTAGGCGGACCTAATCTTCACATCTGAAGTTTATTTATCATTGACCTAGATTGACCTAGTTTATTTACTCATTTACTTGCAGCTAGTGTGTTTGAAAATTCTATTTTTAGAATCCAGGTTTGAAGTGTGAACCATTGACCTAATTACTCCATAACACTGACCACTGCAGCTAGTGTGCTTAAATTTATTTTTAGAATCCAGGCATGCAGTGCTGCTTTACACAGTAATGTCGATAAATAGGCCAACAATGTAAAATTTCCTAACATAATCATGGTGATGTTATTTTCAGGTACTTTGGTTTTGGTTTATAGATATATCCATCTTTTTCAAATATTAGATCATTAGTTACTTAACATAAACATAATCATAATGCTTATTATAGTAAAACTGTGTGAATACATGGATATAGTTAGGCGGATCTTAAAAAAATTAACCATAGATGTCTAAATTTTTTTCCATTACTGTTGGTTTTTTTTCTTAGAGATTGTAGCTTATGTTTATATGCTAAAAAAATTTTCACTCTTATTTTTTCTCCTTTTTTGATTTAATATGATTTTTCCCTCCCCCTTTTTTCCATTTTATTGTCACAGTGGTTTTTTGTTTCTAAATGGAATACTGAGATCTATTTAGAGTTAGGATAATTATAATTTAAAAAAAAAATCTGAAGTGAAGTGTTTTTAATAATTCAGTTGACTTAAAAAGGTGGGAGATAAACCCTTAACCTTTAATTACTTTTGAAGGTGTGGGATATGTTGAGACCCTTTCAAATTTAAGCAGATGTATTCAGATCCCTATTCAAAATTTTTGTCACATTATGTGATCTTATTTATGTATTTACAAACCCAGACTTAAAAAAAATTACGAAAACCCCATGTGAGGTATCATTAAAGACCTTATTTTTTTAATTGAACATACATATTCAATCTCTTTAGATGCAATATAAACTGAATATAAGGTATGATGTCCAGTTGTATGAAAAAGCTCATTAAACTCGAGCGAGTCGACTCTCAGGCTCTTCAGGCCTTTGATCGTTTTAGCTTGTGACGTCTTCTAGAAAACATGAAAAGTGTGCTTTTTAATATTGATGTATACAAGAGTGATGATACTTAACATTTAATAAAAATAATTAAATCTAAAGAATACGTGTTATGAAATACATTAAATGAAAATTGGTTCAATTTAAAATGAGAAAAAAAGACGGCTTAAATGCTCACCTTAATTCCGTTAAAATTGAGTCCTCCACACCCGTGAATGTTCCCTGGCTTCCTTGTGTTGGGGACTTAATACATGTAGCAGCTGTATCCGTGGCTGGAGAGTCTGTGAAAGCAGCAGCCGTACTCTTTGGGGGTGATATTGGGGTAAATACAGGGTAGGCATCTTTTTTAGGGGCACCGTTTGGTGCCGAGTTCCCTCGTTTCAGAGTGGGGGGTGTTGATGTACCCTCAATAACTGTAGGTGTTAAGTATTTTTGAAACAGCACACTTTCGTCTTCTAAGTCTTGGAAGTCGAGACTAGAAAACATTTGTGGTGGAGAGTTACTGAAAATTTAAACAATATAAAAAAAATTGCATTTATTTTCGTTACTTTTTTATTCAGATGAATTATAGTTTTAGTTTCTGCAATTTATATCACTAGTGAAGATAGTCTACATTCTGTACTGATTTTGTTTCCTGATACTTTTCTTAACAATACGTATATGATATATACATATACTTTCATGCTTATTGAATTATGCATAATTATTTACAATCAAAATGATTATATATATATATATATATATATATATATATATATATATATATATATATATATATATATATATATTCTTTATTGCTTATAAAATTCAATATTTTAATATACTCACCTAGACTCGAAATTCTTCTCATCAAGTTCAATTTGTAAGTTGTTCCACAACATTTGGAATTCCGAAAAGTTCTTTATTGAATCTTTCTGTTTTTTTGCTGTTGTTGAGGCTGCTTCTGAATTTCCTGCAGTTGGTCTTTTACAGGTTTTCGTAACATTTCCCTCAGAATTTGATTTTTATTTCTCCCCACATTTTTCTTTTCGGCGTTCCTAATTAAAATATAGGAAAAGAAATAAAGTTTTTTTCTTCTTCAGGAAATGAAGGTTTAATAATATTAAAATATGTATATATTGACTATGTCCACATGTACACAAGACTATCATGGTTATCTTTTCATTGTCTTTCGTGTCAAAATTTTACTCAATGTTTGCTTATCAAAGATTAAAGTGATCCATGAATAAAAAGTTACACACTATCTCTAAAAGTGTATTCATTTTGTCCATGTAAAAATACATTTTAAGAAAACGGTATTAGTCTAAATGACTCAAAATAAAAAAAATTCAATAAGGCCTTTTTTCAAGTCTTAATTTTTTTAAAAGTTAAATAAAGGAAAAGGAAAATAAATTACTTACATGAATGATAACTGAGCCTCTGCCATTTTCACAAACTAAGATAACTACCAGAAGATCGTCAAATAACTGTTGAAAAAACTGAATTGAAAAAAGGTTACCTTCTCAAACATTTATATACCGTGCTTGTAACCTGTTTTAAAATATATTAATGACCTGGCCTTAATAAATGATCTTGAAATACTTCAGTTTTAATATGAATGCAGGTCACTAACATCTGTATATTATTTTAGAGATGATGTCGATATTTTGGCGCTAAAGAGTTACTGTGTCAAGCAATGATATAATTGATGATTACTTGAACTACTTATCTTCAGATATATTTTCTTTAAAGAAAATGTTCCAATAGTGTTAACTAAAAAAAAAAATTAAGATTCATTCAAGCTCAGTGAATTAAAATGATTATAATTACGGCGAAACGTATACCTAAGAAATCCTAGAATATCTAGATCACCTTTTTAGTGACCTTGAACTTTTGAGAAAATATGTCATTATTAAGCGCGAAAAACGTACTAGGAAAGAAGCAAAGAAAGAAATTTATAGAAAAGGAGTGACGAGCATATCAAATTCCAATCCCTAATAAGCAACCTTGTGCAATTACAGGTGCAGCACCGGCCTGTAATGGCTTTATTTAAATTGAAAATGTGTGTCTTTATATGTACACAAAGGTATAAATATATTAAGTAGTCGCTGTCTTGGGGGACGATAAACTTGCTATTGTCCTCATAGCCAGTAAATAGGTGTATAATATATATATATATATATATATATATATATATATATATATATATATATATATATATATATAAATTATTTATTTATTATCATTCTCCTTCTTCCTATTATTTTTTTTTTAGTTTCAAAGTAAATTTGTCGTTAAATTCAGTGTATTTTTATATCTTTTAACTATTAGTATTCAGATCTAATGTTGTCAATATCTGTGAATTTTGAGATCCGCGCATATTAGGCTGTTCCCGCGGTTTATTGAAAACGAGGCTAACTTCGTTACACATGGTGTTTACAATGTTGTGCTGCTGCAGCATGTGGAATTTGGCTGCATTATTTTGAGTATTATGTTTAAGTGTCGCCGATCCAATGTGTACTAAATGTACTTAAGTATCTACGGTTGCAAATATTTGATGTCGGCACCATGTTACAGAGTGTATGGATATGTTACAACCGTCTTGGTCTCTCGATGCGACGCCCCAATTTTCTTTTATCCACCTAGTCGTGCTGTGATCAAAACTGCCGATCGTGCAAACTGTGGTAAGTTTACTTCATTTAATTTACTAAGCTAATAAGACTTAACTTCGTAAAGTAGGCTGGGGGAGGGGATATTAATGGAAATAACTTCAAAAGAACGAAGAAAAAAAGTGTGCCACGGCCTAGATCATTTGTTTTAGCGCCTTTTTTAAAGTCAAATGTCAAACCTTCACTTGTTCTATTTAAAGGTTAAATAATTTAATGGGACAGGATGATGATGGAGGATGCGGGATTTTTTATTGAAAAAAATGAAGTTGTTAACGTGTGGAATTGTGAAGAGAAAATAAGTTTACATCTGCATACTTCTTTTTCTAATTTATGATCTAGAAAACAAATTCTAAGTAAGGATATTAAATTAAACTAAATATTTACTTTTTCAGACGATATTACAACCACGAGAACCAGTTGGCATTCTAACTATGAAAGTGCCACCACAAACCCCCTTAGCAAGACTAGTGCAGCTAAAGAGAAGAAACTTGGGAGGGTCTTAGGAATTCAAGCTTCCAGACCTACTTTGAGCACTGGTATTTTAAACTTTTCTCATGAAAAAAAATTGAAATAAAATTTTTTTGAAAAGAATAAGTAAAGTAGAATTTTGAAGAATATAAGTTTAAATTATGGAGTTTGTATACTTTTTTTTATCATTTATGATCTGAAAGACAAATCTTAGTAAGGATATTAAATTAACCTTGTTATTTATTTTTCAGACATTGACAATATTACAACCGCAAGAACCAGTCAGCATACTACTTATGAAAGTACCACCACAAACCCCATTAGTAAGACTAGTGCAGCTAAAGAGAAGAAACGGGGGAGGGTCTTAGGAATTCAAACTTCCATACCTACTTTGAGCATAGGTATTTTAACACTCCGACATGAAAAAAAATTTTGTAACAATTTTTTTGAGAAGAATTCAAACTTTTAAAATTAATAGAATTATGAAGAAAAGAAGTTAAAATAATGAAGTACACTTACTTACAATTATTGATTTAGAAAAGCAAATCAAAGTGAGGATAATAAATAAACCTAAATATTCATTTTTCAGTCAATTTTACAACCACGATCACCAGTCAGCATTCTACCTATGAAAGTACCACCACAAACCCCCTAAATAAGACTAGTGCAGCTAAAGAGAAGAAACTTGGGAGGGTCTTAGGAATTCAAGTTTCCAGACCTACTTTGAGCACAGGTACGTTAAAACTCTGCGAGAAAAGAAATGTTGATTTAAAAATTTTTGAAAAGAATTCAAACTTCTAAGTAAAATAGAATTTTGAAGAATATAAGTTTAAATTATGGAGTTTGTATACTTTTTTTATCATTTATGATCTGAAAGACAAATCTAAGTAAGGATATTAAATTAACCTTGTTATTTATTTTTCAGACATTGACAATATTACAACCACAAGAACCAGTCAGCATACTGCTTACGAAAGTACCACCACAAACCCCATTAGTAAGACTAGTGCAGCTAAAGAGAAGAAACGGGGGAGGGTCTTAGGAATTCAAGCTTCCATACCTACTTTGAGCATAGGTATTTTAACACTCCGACATGAAAAAAAAATTTTTGATAAATTTTTTTTTGTGTGAAGAATTCAGACTTTAAAATTTGAAAGAATTATGAAGAAAAGAAGTTAAAATAATGAAGTATACTTAATTGCAATTATTGATGTAGAAAAGCAAATCGAAGGGAGGATATTAAATTAACCTAAATATTTATTTTTCAGTCAATATTGCTACCACGATCACCAGTCAGCATTCTACCCATGAAAGTACCACCACAAACCCTCTAAGTAAGACAAGTGCAGCTAAAGAGAAGAAACTTGGGAGGGTCTTAGGAATTCAAGCTTCCAGACCTACTTTGAGCACAGGTACTTTAAAACTCTGACATGAAAATATATTTTGGTAAAAAATAAATTTTGAAAAGAATTCAAACTTTTAAGTAAAATAGAATTGTAAAGAAATTAAATATAATTAGGTAAGTGTTTGTACTATTAATTTTTATTGATCTGAAAAACAAGTCTAGATTAGGATATTTCATTAACCTGATTTATTTTTCAGGCATTTTTACAACCCTGAGTGCCATTCAAGCTACCATCACAAAACCCAGTATTTTGTCTAGTGCAGCTGAAGATGAGAAGAAATTTGAACAGGTCTCGGGAACTCAATCGTCTGGACATACTTTGACCATGGGTAATTTTTAAAACTTTGACATAGAAAATATTTTGGGAAAAAAAGTTAAAAAGAATTCAAACTTTAAGTTAAATAAGATTAAATAAAAGTAAGTTTAATTAGTAAAGTATGTACCGTTTATCTTTATTATTTCAGATATAATTATGAAAGCAGCAGAATTGGCAACACCCATTTTAATTATTATTGTGATCGTAGCTGTTCTTGTACGGAAGTGTAAGTCCAGCTCAGGCTCAACTACATCTACCACTTCACCTGCACATTCCACGCTTCCTGTGCCAGCCTCCACCTCCACCAGTTTACCTGGATCAGGCTCTTCCACTTCACTTGTTGTTGAGGTGATGGACAATGAAACTCAAGTTTCTCCAGGTCCTGATGAACAGACAACACCAAAGAGACTTCTCAATCCTAAATCCACACCAAGAAGAAAACTCCCATTCAGAGCTGCACGCAACAGGAGCAAATACCCATGGAAGTAAATGAAAGATTTGATCCTGTTTTTAATTGAATGTATATGCCAGGCAGTGCATTGTGTGATGTATATCACTTGCTTTTGATTATGTACAAAATGTGTATTTTTGTCAAGAAAGTTAATGGGAGCAACCTGGTTAAAGTTATCCTAGAATAGCAGCATAGTTTGCAACATACATGTATTTAGCTACGGGAAGTAACTCTTCTCAATTTCTTGTATGGTTTACATTTACATCAAGAGTTTGTTTTTTTTACTTTGATACAGTAGAAAATCTAGGACAATCATTCCTCCATTTTTCATTCCAAGTTACACTGTGATCTCTTTTTTTGTACTATTTCTATAATTTACACACTAAGTTGTAAAATTGAGGGAGGTAGAATTTTCTTGAAATGGTAACAGTTTTTCATGCTTAATGATATGCTTCATATGTGCTGAAGTTTTCATTACATTGACATTTTTTAATACATGGTCTTTGATATTTTCATTCTGTTTGATTGAATTATGATTTTACCTTAGGCATTATTAAAATGTGTTCATTTTCGTAGCTGTTCACATTTACACCTTTTGTAAGTAATTCTTATCATTCCTTTTGTTTAAAGCTGTGATTGTTTAAATTAAATTCAATCTAAGGGGGGTAACTCTTAGTGTTTGCTTAGCATGTTCAACATGAAGAAGAATAGAATGAGTTGTTTATCGTATTTTTCTTCTTGTTTAAATACAATGGTATGTATTTTCATAATCCTAATTCCCAATGGTTATTTTATAAGATATTAAGACAATGTGATTTATGATGATTTTGTTTACATACAGTATTATACGCTTGAATACTCTTTATTTTTGTAAGTGCCAAGGAGTGCATGAACATTAATGGATATTGATGTAAGATAAGTTTTGTAGTGATTATTGTTCCATTTTTTTGTGGAATAAATACAACGGGTATGTATTTTTTATAATCCAAAGTGCCAATTGTCATTTTATTAGACATATACATGATTTACAAATTGATTACTTTTATGCTTTTGTTTTTGTCACTGTAGAAAAACTACACAAATAAATCAAGTTTTTAAAAAAAATCTATTTGTTGTTATTTTGTTCAATTACATTCTAAATTGAGAGAGGTTTTCTTATACCATTATGCAGTTTGCTTCATATTCGGATTCTAGGGAACTTGGTAGCAACATTGTTTCATTGGAGTTCATATGATATTTGTGTTTTTTTTAAACAAAGGAAAATTGTTATTGTTATTGCAGAATGAAAGTTTGGTTTAGCAAGGATGTAAAAGAATATATACTTCCTCCAGGAGAAGACAGAAGTTGTCCATGGATGCAGATGGCTATTGATCGTGCTCATTTCCAAAGACGAATAGAAAAATTAAAGCCTGTTCTTGAATCTGTGTTGGAGAACAAACTAAGTACAATGAAAAATAACATACATCACCCTACCCCAACTGCTAATAAAAATAAAAAGTTCAATAGTTGTAACAGAAAGATATAAAATGGAAAACACAAACACAAGTAGTTTATTGCAAGAAATCCTTGAGTGTCTTCAAGATGAAGAGCATATAAAATTCTTTGCAAGTGTTCATGGGATAACAGGGGATCCAGATGTTGAACGTCGATTAGAACAGGTACGGTATGGTATTCTTAGTTTAATACTGACCGTAGATGATCTTTAAATTATCTCCCTTTTACTGTGCTGAAATCAACACTTAAGTTTTTCATATAGTTAATCTATGGAAGGTGATGCATAGGTCATCCCTTGTTTAGGTTACATGTATGTTATAAGTATGTGCACTACTTGATAGCATTATAGTTTTAATTCAGTGGATTCTGAATTTGATAGATAACTATATTGATTAACTTTCCATATATTAAGATATTATTTAAAGTCTTAGAATTTAAGATTTTAATTTTTAAAAAGTTATTTTCTTTGAGATATGACTCCAGAACTTGCATTGATGGTGATTAATTTGCTTTGATAATTGTCTAATCCTTTTTGTACAAATTTTCACAATTAACAGATGGATGACGTCCTTGAACTTGAGGTGGACACCCAGGAAATAGAACTTGTTGGGCAGAAGTGGCCAAGTGAGGGTCAGCAATGTCCGGTTGAAAACTGTACATCCAGACCCCATGTGTTTCAACGGATCGGGTCCTACCGACAACATCACTTACAAGTGCATAAAGCTAAGGTCCCTTTCTACTTTTGTACTGCAACACATTGTGGGTTTTTCACCACCAAGATGAACCCATTACGTAAGCATATGCAAAAGAAGCATAAAAATCTTCAAGGATGTTTCCTGAAAAAATTCACTGTTAACCCAAGATTTTGTGACCCAGGAACCAATGTGATGCCCCTACCACCTGTGCATCGGGAGGCAAGAGACCTTGCAGCTGTGGCTAGAAGATCCTCAGTTCCACAGAGACCTTTATTTAAACTCTCTGATAATTTCAACCCAAGAGACAACAAACCACCTTTTCACTAAGTCTGATAAATTTGTTCAACTATTTGTGTAAACAAAAATTTATTATGTAAATTTTTTTTTAAGGGGGAGGAATGTAGTGGTTTAGATTTCTATTTCATAGCCCTTGTTTCGTAAATTATATTTTGCAAGTATTTGTTGGTATTTCAGTCTGATAATTCTATTTACCTTATGTTTTCAGTTGTTACTTACGTAAAACCCCTTTATTATTTGTCTCTTAAAAGTTAGGGCATGTGTTGACATTCCACGTTTTACTTTTTAAACAGGAAGTGTCATCCATGTTGGGAGTCTTTCCATAGTACTTTTGGTAGCTGTGTTCTGATTGGTTAACTTAGCTATAGAATCTTTGATGTTTATTGGCTTTTATATTTGGGCCTATAGCTAGGGTATTTAAAGCCGTGTTCGTGTAGTTTTCTTCACTTGGGTTGGGGAACACAACCTCATGGTTAGTTCCTCTTTACTGTGCTAAGAAAACCTCATGGTTTATGAGCACTATATGATTAGTACCTTAGAGTGCTAAGAAAACCTCATGGTTTAACAGTACTCTAGGTCTTAGCTAGCTTTAGTTTCACGTTTTTCATAAGTTCTAGATTTTTGTTAGGAAACAGTTAGGATGTTGGTTTAATAGAATAAATTTATTTTCCCCTTTCCAAGTCCAGCCTGGTCTAGGGATTTGTAGATAACAGGTATAATTCCTAGAACCACTAACCACTATTTATCATTTATGTTTGGTGTTATTTTCTGGGTTAGATATTTTTTGAGTCCAGATTTAGCTTTATTATTTTAAGTTCAACTCTAGAGTGTTGATTAGTAGAGTTCATATTGGGTGATGTAGCTCATTTCCCTTACATTTTTCCAAATCATTTAATAGGATTTTTGACCTTTTCATAAGTATGGAAGCTCAGTAGGGACATAAATTATTTTCATAGGTTTTTCACATTTCTCCATTTATTCTTGTTTAAATTTTGACTATTATTTATTATTTGTTGTCATTTGCAAAGGTTAAATCTCACTTTATTAAATTTATAAAACTTACAACTGTGTTTTCATTTAGCGTTGATCATAGTTCAGATATCCCCTTACCTGGGTTGATTATTGATAACTGGAGGTATAGTACCACTTAAAGCCAAGTTGGCTATTAACTTTGTTCATTTATCTATTAAAGAGTTCTACTTCCGGTTACACAACACTTAACATGACAGGATTGGAAGAATTATCTAGAAATCACCACTATCCATTAACACCCATTACTTATCAGTGTTCATAGTCAGGTATTCAAGATACTCCTTTTCTAACCAAGTGTGATACTGAGTTTGAAAATAATTCCAAGGTTAACAGAATTCATCACGCAAACGGATTCCACGACTGACATGTTCTTCGCATATTTACGACAGTTCTAAGTACCTTTCGTGAAACGGTCTTAATGCAGTACGTAGGTACTAATTAAGTTTGTCGTAACTAGCTAAGTACAGTACCAACCAGACCCAACCTGATAGATAGCAGTCCCGGGGGACTGCTTTCTGAGACTGCTTGGGTGTCGGGTTTGGTGTGGTTGGTACTGTAGCACGTAATTTACGATGCTTTTTTGAATCGATACAACATAATTTTATTCTTGGTGACAAAAAGCAATATGACTTGACGTGTTAAACCAGCTGACCTGAAGATGAAAATGGCGGTCTCGTTTCTCAGGAAAGGCTCCTCTCATTGTTCGTCGTCTAGAGAAGTACAGTTTCTTACATTTACAAACGTTCACAAAATTATTCTCCGCTTTATATAACAACATTTGAAATTAATCATTATCGACGAAATTTCGATGATTGGTTATTTACTATTAAATGACAATCACTTCCGTCATCAAGAAATAATGCGAACAGATTTTAAAACATATTTTGGAAGAGAAAGTTTTCTTGCTGTTTGAAATTTTCATCAATTTCAGCCAGTGGGATGTATGCATATTTTTGCTACACCTTTAAATGCTTTCAGCAAACTTTCCTTACATCTATGGAAAGATTTATTCAAATAAGGAGAAATTACTCACATCACGAGACAGAAATTAGACATTTCACTCTTCTTAAATCGAATGTGATGATTTTAATGAAATACAGAAAAATATACTTCTAGATGGAGATGATTTCCAAGAGATGCACTCCATGTATTCTCTCTTAACAAACAATGTACCAGTGAGAATGTGACCAGACTTTTCAATCCAGCAAGACGCAGACATTCTGTTTGACTATAAACAGTATATTATCTACTTTTACAGGAGAATTCTGATAAGGGATTATTTGAAAATGGCTATTAATGACTGTATTTTATTTGTTGAACATCTAAGTAAAATATTTTGTTTCCAACTTGTGATATTGCATTTGGCAGTTCTTAAGTCCTTGTCACATAAAGATTTTAGATATCACATATTTGACATGGTGGAACAAGTGCAGCCAGAAAAGAGAAGGGTAAACGAACCCTATAACATTGAATAGCACAATCTCTTTGAGAGTTTTCTCAGAATGTTGTGTAGATTTAAA